TATATATATATATATATATATATGCACATAAATGCACCGACTTCCGCGATGTATTTATTGGACATATCGTCACGGTATCATTCATTCGTGATGTAAGTGAAATGAAAGACGGTGAAATTGCAAAGATTTTACTGAATGCGACGATCCTTCAGTTAGACGCGAATTTCTCGCGTACATACGGCATTGCATGAAAATGTACCGACTTGGCCAGTCGGCATGTCGAGGCTAGGGAGAGGCCTTTCAAGGTCCTCGGGGATTTTTACACGGCGGGAAGTAGGAACGGATGTGTATAAAGGTCAACGAGGACCGGTCGTGTAGTTATAGAACAAATTCGATCCTAAAATCGATAAACACGTGAGGCACAAAGGGATCGTTTATCGACATGTACAACATTTGTATTGCGGAGCATCGTGAAATTCCAGGCTTCAGAAACCAGGCGTCATGTTTGAATTAATTCCGGCCGATTGGAAGTTGATTTTCGCCCGGACGTTTAAGTATACGGCATTGTATCGTGTCCGTGTGTTTCCTGTGAAATAACTACTACTCGTTACGCTACCACGTCTAGGCGGTTTTTCTATTACAATGCCTCTGAGTAACCTATGATTATGCGTATAGCATGTAACTTCGCTCGCTAGATTTATCTGGTATCGACGATTCCAATTTTATCGCGCGTACAGTGTAGATAATCGTCGGTGAAAGTTGTCGTTTACGTTTATCCGTATCTTACGTATCTTCGCTTCCATACGCTATATTCTACTACGTAACGAAGAAGAACCGATTTATTTCGAATACCTATCTCGTTACAAGCATGAGTTCCATTTTTCTTTCTACACCTGCGTTGTATTCATCGACGGGCGGAATCAAAGCTTCGCTTCAATCTCGAGCGGAATTCTACGAGAGCGTCAATTACGTACAGGTCGTACGATAGAAAAACATGGAAGTTAAACGTAGCCTTGTTTTTCGGTTGATGACGTTCACTGTACAGTCCTCGTGTACGTCGGCACGGTGCGCGCTCGTATACGGATTCACGGGCCGGTGAATGCAGAAAACCGTGTGTTTCTGAAGAATAGTAATCGTTGTTGCGGAGTGTCAGTCCGCGTTGTCCGCTCGGTGAAGGTGTATATGAAGAGGGCACGCGTGTAGTAGGTACATGTATCTATCTGTTCGTGGTCGTGGTTGTGTATCGGTGTGCGGATGCTCGCGGTGGTGGCATAGGTAGTACCAGGGGATCACCGAGCGAATCCGGAACGTTTCATTGTCGTACACGCGGCGGGCGCATCGCGATCGTGTTGGTCGCTATCGATCCGGTCACTTCTGTTTCGCAGTTGGAGAAGTTTCCCGCGTTTCCCCCGCGGAAGGAAAATTTCGCTGGCCTAACGTTTTCGTTATCGTCCTGCGTATACGCACGCAATACAATTCGCATCGCAAATGCGTCTGATTTGCGATTCACTGGAACGGGGTGAATCCTCCTCGTCCCGTGACTCACAAGTGTACGGAAAGTTGGCTTTATTAATAGTCCTCTAGCGAGGACTATCCGGCTGAGGTGTTTTTACACGACCAGGGAAAGTGGCGTCGAATCAAATTATGAAGCGGTCAAAGAGCTGTGAAGAGTAACGTGAGTCGAGCCTCTCTTTTTTTCGCGTGACTCTCTATGTTCTCGCTTTTATCGTTTGTGCTTCGTACGAATAGATTAAACGCTATGCAAATCGGCTGAACGTCGTTTTTGTTGTGGTGGTTTCGTTCGCGTGTTGAGTTTAGTGTTCAGCAGATCGATGGTTACGCAAGCGAGGATGCGCTAAGTAACGGTCATATGCTGGTGTATTTCGATCGCGTTCGATCTTTACAACTTTCCATCGTTGCGCGACCACGTTCTTGCAAATGTTATTCTGGCAAAATGAGTGCGTATTTTTCCGTGTTTCATACCTGTCTAGGTGCGATGACCTTCGCCTATAATCTTATCGAACCTGTTACGTGCAAGCACACGCTGTGCACAAACGCGCGGACGATCGTA